AGAACGACTGGGAGCTCAAGTAGGGGAGAGGGTCAGAGGGAGAGGGAGAAGCAGACTCCCCGCTGAGCAGGGAACATGACACAGGACTCGATCCCAGGACCCTGGGATCATGACCTGAGCCAAAGGCAGATGCTGAACTGACTGAGCCACCCAGGTGCCCCTAAAATTAGATGTTTTATTGAGTTGTTTTCTTTTGGCCTGAATGGCTGTTGACTTGTCTTCCTTTAGCTGTGCTTGGGAAATAAAGCTCTGGAACTTGATTGGCTATTTTTCCTGATTATTAGGTTAGATCCAAGTACACATTGACAAGATAAATGTTTTCAGATTTCCCTCAGCTCACCTCTAACCAAGATGGCCTCCAACTCAGGCAGGTTCCTCAGTTTTTATAAAACAAAGTCCAACTTATCTCAGCTCCACTATTGATTAAAGAATTTGGGTTCCTATTTATTTGATAATGTAGGCAAGGTGGGAAGCATACTGTCAGTCTCATTGTTACTTAATACCCAAAGCTCAGCTAAGAGAAGCAGTATTCAGGAAGCAGTGCATGAAGGATATGGCAGTGAGTCCATTCATTCCTCTGGAGCAGTGTTCTTAACCGCTTGTTCTTGGCAGGACATTGGATTCAACTGGGGAGCTTTAAAAAATACTAATGCCAGGGTCTCCTCCTAGAGATTCTAACTGGCCCAGAGCATCCAGACATGGCAACAGCCTCTCTGGTGAAGCTTTAGAATTATCTGGACTAGATAGCATTAAAAAAATTGAGGCCCCACCCCAGGAGATACAGATGTGATGAGCTCAGGATGGTGCTCAGGCATCAGTTTCCTTTAAAAAACTTTTTCTGTGATGCCAGTATGCAGCCAAGATTTAAAACCATTGCTTTTTTCTAAATTCTACACCCAGAAGGGTTTTATTTACTTCTATGTAGATTTTTTTCTTTTACCTTTGGAATGTAGCATATGAATCCCAGTATAGTATTATCTTCACAGAAATGTGCTTTGGTGAGCTGCCATCATTCTGTGTTTGAGGAAACTGAGAAACAATCCCACAGAACTCACTGCTGTGACTACTGAGAAGATGTTCATTATATTACTCTATCCTCTTTATGAGGACCCTTGGGAGGAATTTGTCTGTTAGCATTAGAAATGCTGTGCTTCTCCTGAACAGTTGTCTTGCTTTTATCTTTAGGCTTGTCTAGCTGATCGAGTTTCTCCTTTACATAAAAGCCAGAAAGCTTAGTGCCGAATCTTTGGCCCACCTAACAATTAAGTATGTGAATCTTAATAGTGTACATTTTTGAGAAACTTTATTTCTGTGTCCAATTTTTGTCCCTATATTTGTTTGCTTCTGTCTTTCTTGCCTATTTTGAATTGGTTGTTTTACTGTATTTTAGGTATTGCTATCATCTACCTGATGTTCTTAAAAATGGGGCATAAATAAGTAAGTAAAATTATAAAGTTAGTCTTTGCTGCTAACTTGGAAGCTAAAGAGCAAGTGTGCATGTGGGGTGGACACCATGTATGGACCTGGTATATCATCTGTTAAAATTTTGAAAACATGTACTGCAGATTTGACATGACCTAGACTTCCAGGAGTCATCTCTGGGGAAACACCAAAGATCCTCTGTTGCTGGATGTCCTTAACAAGAGGAGATTTCTCTCTCTCTTTTTAAGATTTATTTATTTATTTATTTATTTGAGAGAGAGTGCGAGCAGGGGGAGGGGCAAAGGGAGAGGGAGAGGGAGAAGGAATCTCAAGCAGACTCCCTGCTGAGTGAGGAGCCCGCCACGGGGCTCAGATTCTGAGACCGTGACCTGAGCCGAAGTCAAGAGTCAGATGCTTAACCGACTGAGCCACCCAGGCGCCCCAGGAGATTTCTTAGTAAGGCTGAATAGGCCCTGTGGACTTGGTGTCAGAACCTGGGCTAAACACTGGACTTACAAGGTTGGATAATTCAGTGTTGGCTGTAAAAGAGATGTGTTGAAGGAGAGAGAAAAGAGATTCCAATTATGGGAATATGCTGGAAGCCCTGGGAAACAAAGGAGGTACCTCAAACTTAAAATGTCCAAAACTGAACTCAACTTGTCAACTGTCTTCTGTGTTGGTCTTAGGTTTAGTCATGGAGGACCTCTTGTCACCTTAGGCACCCAACCTCAAAATCAAAGTAATTTTTTTTCTTTCCTCTTCCTTGTTCACCTACCAACATAGCCCCCAAATAAAACTTTTATCTACTCACTTGCCAGGTTTGACTCACATGTCTTGCATCCACCCCTTCTATTCCTACTGCCCTAGATGAGGCCTTAGGCCCTCATCAGCTCTATTGTAGACATCTTGAAATTGGCTTCTGCATCAGTCTTCCCATTCTAATTATGATCTGTGCTGCTGGTTTTCAAACTATTCTTTGGAGCCTGTAGCCTAGGGGGATGCCAAGTGGCTGGGGCTCTGTATTCCCACTCCTACTTCAACTGGAGGAACTCCAGTTTTTGCCTTTGTATATGGAAATCTAAAGTCAAATTCTATTTGGTATTTGCTAATTAAAAAGTTTGAAAACTGCTCCCAGGTTGAGGCAAACCAAACCACCTCTTTCCTGTATGCATTCTTCGCCATCTCTGCTTTGCTCAAACTTCTGCCTATTCTTGGAATTCCAAATACCACCCTCTCCTTACCTACCTCTTACTCTCAAGTCCAGGTCTTTGCTTGTCTAAATCCTCTTCACCTCACAGGCCATTCCTGTCATGAAACTTTTCCTGAATTCCCAGCCAGGAGAGAAGGTTTTTCTTGTCTTTGAACTGCTGTGGCCTTCAGCTAGTTTCATGTGGCACATAGTTTCTGTTTTGGTGCTGCTATCATTTTCATTCATAGCTCGCTGTTTCTACTGACCTGAAGACCCAGAAAAGGCAGGGTCATATTATCTCCATCTTTGTGTCTTCCACAAGGTCTGGCAAATTGGTAGAGCTGTTAATTGTACCTACTGTGTGCCAAGCCCTTTGCTGGGCCTTCAAAATGCAGGGGTAGACAACCCCGTCTCTGTTCTCAGAGCAGGACTGCTGATCAGGACAGACAAGTAAAGAAGCTCTTCTAATACAGTTTGGTATGGGCTACCAAAAGAGGCACTGAAGCTACTGTGAGAGCATGGGCCCATGGTCACAGCCTCTGGGAACATTTAAGCCATCTTGTGGAATGAGCAGAAGTCTTTCCAGATGAAAGGAAAAAGAAAATTTCAGGTAGAAGAAACATGAAGTTGAAAGGCCAGGAAGTGTGAGGATGGTGCTATAGGAGATGGAGTTGTATGGCTAGAGACTAAGTGTGTAAGACAGGGAAGAAATGATGGAGAGAGAGAGGGAGGGAGGGGCAGAGTCCATCATGTAGTTGTGAGCCCTTGAAGGGTTTATGCAGGGAAGTTATAGGATCAGAATTTTGAAAGAAGGAGCCATGATTAAAAGACAGTGGGAAGAAGGTCTGTGCTCTGAACACACAATCTTCTGATATCAGTTGCTGTAGCACCCCCGGGGGGAAGAGGCTCAGGTTTGGGGGACTGGTTGCGGGTGGGAGTGAGACAATGCCTTTTGAAAGAACAGAGGGCTTCCTTTGTGTGAAAGGAACCTGGGATTCCCAGTGGTGCTCTCCTGGGATATTTCTGGGAGAGGCCAAGATAAATACAATGATACATGACATAGTAAGTTTACAGATGTTAGCTTTAAAACAAAAAAAAGTAGTGGGGAATTGAATTAAATATTATTGTGACTTTAAGTATTGTAGGAATTCAGATAAGAAGACAACCCACTAAAAGCTGGAGTAGTCACTGATGGAAAGTAAGACTTGAGCTGTCATTGGACCTTGAAGAGAAGTTGGATGGGCAGTAGGGACAGAAGTCCCTCCAAGCAAGGGAAGCAAGCTAAAAGAAGATGCAGAGGAAGCAATGGGCATTGTCAGGTCTGGGGAGGGGAGGAGAGAGGCATAGTGACGGTACAGCTGGGGACAGGGGCTGGGCCAATGTATAGAAGTCCTGGAAGGCCAGCTGCTTATTTCTTGAAACATTGGGAAAAAGCTATTGATAGGATGAAAGTGGCTTAGCAAGATTCATGTGGGTGTTGGGGGTGGTGGAGATAATCTGTGCAATAAGGTTTTACACTCTGACAGCGAGATAAAAGAAGGACCTTTGGGAGTGACTTTTTCTAGCCAGTGATCAACAGAGGTTTAGTGCATGGCTGGTGGAGCAGTGGGGGAAAGTCAGAGGTTCGAATTTTGGGGTCCAGGAGAATTGTGGTATCGTTGCAAATCACATAGTATGTTGGGAAGAGGAACTGGTGTATGGGAAGAAGAAAAAACTTTTGTTTTTAAAATTGAAGTCATCACATGTGACTCAGTGAATGTAAGTTTGGTGGGCAGTTGGAGCTCTGAGACCTGTGGCTACTTGTGATGTTTTGAGGCTTTTACAGTACAATGCAGGAGGAGCCAGACTGCAAGGAGAGAAGGAAGATGCTGAAGAAGTGAAGCTTTCTTGGGGGCAGCTACTTGTTTGAGAAATTGGATGAAAGGAAGGGAAATATGTGGTAGTTACAAGGGCCATTAAGTAGAGCCCTTAAGGGCGGGGAAGCGTAGAAACCTGCAGGTTGATTCCTAAAGAAATTCTTGCAAGTATATGCTCACTGAGCTTATATTATACTCATTCATTTGTTCGCTCATTCATTCATTCACCAAGTGTTTGTCTGCTAGGCATTCTGGCCATTTCTCCCCTTTACTGCAGTCTGGGCTTAGTGCCAGACAACATCTGAACAGTGAGTACTAGTGGGGCAATAACAGGACTTGGGCTAAGGACGCCTGGAATAATAAATTACGGTCTTTTCTTCTCTTAATTGCAACTAGAGTTAAAGTTTCTTTCTTTCCTTCCCATGGGAAAGCTGTGGGTGATTCCAGCTATGTCTTCGAGGTGCTGCTGGATATTACTGCTGTAAGTTTCAAGAAACTTCTAAACAATGTGTTGTTTTTTGCGGTCACAGCAGGCAGAGTGGAATCTCCAACTATTAGAGGTCCCACCCCAAACTCAGTTTGATTACACCATCACCAATCTAGCTGGTGGCCCGAAACCACATTCTCCTTTCGACTCTCAATACCATGAGACCAAACTGAAGGTGAGCAGTGCTTCCCTCCTCTGGGAAGCCCACTGTAAAGTTTCCATGGTTTTCTCTGGGCTGAGTTTGGCAGACTGTGAGGTATTTTCATTCTTCTCTATCTTTCTGCCCCACATTAGGGGGGCATGTTTGCTGGACAGCTGACCAACGTGGGCATGCAGCAGATGTTTGCCCTGGGAGAGAGGCTGAGGAAGAACTATGTGGAGGACATCCCCTTTCTTTCGCCAACCTTCAATCCGCTGGAGGTCTTGTGAGTCACTCAAAAAAGGGATGTTGCACCCAGTTTAAGGTCTTAGGCATAAGGAAACCTGACCACCCCCCCCAGATGGTTCCCATTCTCACCCAACATAGTTTGGGGTAGTTACCCTGGTGTAATAGGATCCTGTGAATATGTGGTCAATGGAGGTGACATTCATTGGCTTTCGGGTCCCTTGGGACAGCCATCCTACAGAGAGATAAAGGATTCTTCCCAGCCCCGTAGCTCCCCTTATGTGATCTTAAAGCCTCCCAGCTGCTGTAGGATAAGGTAGTATATATAATTGAATCTTCCTTCTATGAATGTCTCTACCTTTTTTTTTTTCCAGTGTCCGTTCCACTAATATATATCGGAATCTGGAGTCTACCCGGTGTTTGCTGGCTGGACTTTTCCAATGTCAGAAAGAAGGTTCGAGTTTGGAGTCTAGAAGTCAGCCCCTATCCCAGAGGAGCTTTCTTCTTACTTCCAAAGCCCTCCCTGCCCTCTTTCTTGGTGCCTGTTCCTCTGGTTTCTCTTCTCTTGCACATGTGGCTTCCATGCTGTACCTACTCTAGTGGGCGCTCCCTTGTCTGGCCTTCTGCTGCCCTTGCCAGCTTGACCTCCACATCTGCAGCGATGCATCAGCCACACTGATGTGCGTCTGGCTTCTGACTTCTCCTCTTAAGCTTCTACACAGGCTGCATGAGGTGGCCCTAGCCAGGTCTGGTGAACAATATTGGGGCTTTTTGCTTAGGTAAGACACTGCTGAAAAGGAAGGAGGGCAGGAGGGACACTTAGCTGGGACCCAAGCCTACTATTGCTCTGGTCTTGGTGATAATCCACAGCACGACCCAGATGGTATTTTTTTTTTTTTTAAGATTTTATTTATTTATTCATAAGGGACAGAGAGAGAGACAGGCAGAGGGAGAAGCAGGGTCCCCGCTGAGCAGGGAGCCCGATGCGGGACTCGATCCCAGGACTCTGGGATCATGACCTGAGCCGAAGGCAGACGCTTAATGACTGAGCCACCCAGGCGCCCGACCCAGATGGTAGTAACGGTATTCCGTGCAGCCCTTCCTCCCTGAGAAAGTCTAGTGAGTTTGGGTTTTGACATGTTCAACCAGTGAATGATCGCAGCTAATGGTACCCAACCTTTTACCACTAAGGACCACATTTATTATTTTCCCTCATGGATCTCATGTGTTGAGGCCCTTTGACTATCAAATGGAACTGCATTTTGTCATTTGTACTTGATTCAAATTTACATTTAATTGCCAGTCTGAGTTTCATATCAACATGACCTCACCAATATTAAAATACAAAAGTGGTGCCATAAGGCAAAGGTTCTTGCTTAGCTTCTGTAGCGGTATCTCAAATAGATATAAAATTTCCATCAGCCTTTAGAAAAATAAACTATGTAAAATAATAGAAACCTCCAGGCCAGAGGAGGCTGGCCTTACCCCACTCTGGGTTGGGTACAGCTGCTACTTCTGGCTGAAGTTGGCTGCTGAACACAAACAGCATGTGTCTAAGTAACAAAGCAAAAAGAGTGGGCTGCCCCTTATTTCCTGGGAGCCCCTGAGCTTTGGAATAATCCACAGTGCCTGGCCTCCTGAAAGCTCTTCACTTGCCGAGTTTCTAAAAGGCAAATGTCCTCTCTTCAGAAACACCAAAAGTATGATTGGAGTAGGAAAGCTGTTTCTTGGAGGCAGCCTGACCTACTGGCAGGTCTCAGACTGGGACTGCCCCACATTCCCAACAGGGAGGGAAGTGGTATCATCACTAGCCACTGGACCCAAACATCCTGGGACTCTAATTTGACCATGTACCAAACCTTTTTTTTAATAGCTTTGGGTATACTAACTTGTTTAATTCTTTTTAATAACCCTATGACGTAGGTAATATTTTTTAATAATTTACAGATAAGAGAACTAAGGCACAGAGAGGCTAAATGACTTTCCCAGGGACACAAAGCTGGTAAATGGTGGAACAGAGATTCAAACTCTTGCAGTCTGGTTCCAGAATCCATACTTTTAACCTTTATGCTCTGTTGCTCAGAGGACACATATATTTGGAGAGGGCCTCTGGTCATTTGATCAACAAAGTGTGTCTGAATTTTGATATTATGGTAAAGTTACCATATGCTACTGGAGTTTTGACTATCAACAATTTGTTTGAGAACAATAGCTCTTTGGGGCTTAGATTTACCTAATCACCCCACGTATTGACCTCAGTGAATTCCAGAGAGCTGCTGATAGAAGCTCTTTCTTTTGCCATCAGAGGTTAGGCTTGAGTTGTGTAGAAAAGGAAGCTACCACAGGCCCTTGCCATGTCTGGCACAGAGCAAAGCATGGGAAGGTGTTAGAGCACCTTGATGGGAGGGGATAAAGGTACTTATAAGCTCTGAGCAGTAGCGAGCTACTGGAAGGTATACAGTTGACCTTTGAACAACATGGGTTTGAACTGCCTGGGTCCAGTTACATGCGACTTTTTTTGGTAAGTAGAGTACAGAACTGTAAATGTATTTTCTCTTCCTTATGATTTTCTTAATCACATTTTCTTTTCTCTAGCTTACTTAATTGTAGGAACACAGTATATAATACATATAACATACAAAAGATGGGTTAATCAACTATTTATGTTATCAGTAAGGCTTTCAGTCAACAGTAGGCTGTTAGTAGTTAGGGTTTTGGGGAATCAAAAGTTATATGTGGATTTTCAACTGTGGGCGGTGGGATCGGTGACCATAACCCCGCAGTTGTTCAAGGGTCAACTATATAAGAAACATTGTTTGTAGCCTAATGTGTGGTTCTTGGCAGTTCATCTGAAAACCTGCCTTTCCTTTTGGGTAAGGCTGTGGGGCTGACAGGACTTGTGACCTTGTGGTCACTTTTCTTAGATTGTCATGTGCTGAGTCACTGTATTGGTCTATAGGATTGGACTTTGAAAAGAAAGTCACCTAGTTCTGATAGATTCAGGGATACCCCATTCTTTGTTAGAATGCCCAAGTGCTGGTAATACCTTAAGGCAGGAATCTTTGGGAATGGGTCAGGAAAGGGCCAGTCTGATCCAGGTCTGTGCCTGCTCTAGTCTATCTGTGGCCCAATAGGAGGGACTATGCCAGACAGAACAGGCTGCTACTTGCTTTCTCCCTTTCTCAGACCATAGGAGAGTTTCCGTTGGCAAGGCCAGGGCATGTTGAAGGCAGGTACCGTCCTTAAGGAGTAACCTTGATGATGTATCTCCTGAAGCAGACAAGAGAAGAAGGGGGTGGGGATGCTGGGAAGAACAAGCTGAAGCCTCTTCCTGCCTGTGCTCCCACCTTCCTTCCAGGACCCATCATCATCCATGCTGATGAAGCAAGCTCAGAAGTCTTGTACCCCAACTACCAAAACTGCTGGAGCCTGCGGGAAAGAACCAGGTAACTTCCCTGGGTTCTTGCTCACCAGTGGGGGACAGACAGCCTTTTACTCTTGCTGGTAGACTCTGCCTGAACTCAGGGCCTGGCTAGGCTTACCGTGTTGGTGGATAAGGGGTGGGAAGGACTGCTTTACACGAAGGCCTGACATTGCTGTCCAGGAAGTGAAGAAGCTCTTGTTCACAGTGCAGGCTCATAGTAAAGGCACAGCAAGCTCAGGAGTAGCCACATGCTGGGCTGGAGAGATGGTATGTACAGCCTGAGTGTGGTTTGCCTTTACACACCATTGTCCTCTCGACTATCATGCTCTCAGAGGGGGCAGATGAAAACACTGACAGTAAGTAAAAGATGATTAAACTAGTTGTTGAACTGCAAATCCAGATGGGCAAGCAGAAGACACAGATTTCCCTTCTTTTCCTAATTTGCTGCCCTGTAGAAGAGATTGGTTTGGGCTGATGGTGCTTTTCAGTGTTCAGATATTTCTGGGCTGCACGAAGACTATATAGTATGTATTCCACAGAAGAGAGAGAATGTTGTTTTCAAGCAGACCTAGGCCATGGTTGTATTGCTTTTGGTATAGTAGAAGAAAATGCTAGAGTGGAATCTGGAAATTCAGGCTTTTATTCTAGCCCTGGTACCTGCTAACTTACTTTCACAAGTCATTTGAACTCATAGAGCCCCAGTTGACTCATGCATAAGATGGGAATAATACCAACTAACCCCAATGTCTTGTTCTTGAGGAATGAATGAGATCCCAAATGATGAATGAGATACACTTTGTAAACTATATATTACTATACAAGATACAGGATTACTTTTTATTTTTTGGCAGAGGCCGGAGGCAGGCTGCCTCTTTGCAGCCAGGAATCTCAGAGGATTTGCAAAAGGTGAAGGAAGGGATGGGCGTCACCAGTAATGATGGAGTAGACTTCCTCAGCCTCTTTGACAATATGGCTGCCGAGCAGGTTGGATGACTGTCCTCCTCCAGCCTTGGGGGTGGGGGTAGGCACCTGGACTGGCTGGCTCCCGCGTTAGAACTGGGTTGAGGGGAGTGGTGGAGGCAGCTGTGGTAGAACTTACAGGGAATGGCTGTGGGAACTGAGGGCTAGGCCCCAATCAGGGAGGACTCCTCACTTGGTTAGGCGCATGGATACTTAACTCTAGATCAGAATTTCTTGAGGCATGTTCTCCAGAATACCTGTGATGTGAGTGTGTATATTGTGGGCAGGCAGGGGTGGGGTGGGTGACGGGTAGGCGGGCGGTTGTTGTCTAAAAGTTTTAGAATCCCCACTATATCACTTTTTGGAGGGTCTATATGTGCAGCAGCATATTAAAGAATCTAAGAAGTAAAGAAAGCTGGTCAATCTTTAAATCTATTTCCCCCAAACTTATTTAGCCATACAATCTTTTTTATCTAATAAATACTGAAGACCACACAATGGGAAAGGCTTCTCTAGATTCAAAAGCCAGACTCCCAAAGGTGCAGTGTAGCCTGGACCCTCCTTCCCTCTCTTGTCAGGATGACAGTGCGCCCTGAAGGCAGAAATGCCCTGCTTATGGGTAAAATAGGTGGAAGGTTATAAGATGAAGGCTTATGTAAAGTATTTACATGGCATACTTTTTAGAAATCTATTTTGGGGAAAATGAGATTCATGTATAAATTTATGAATTCCTTACTCTGTATTTTATTTACTTGTTTTTTATGGTTTTAAAAAATACAAATGTTTTTCATTTCGAAGTAGGTGGGTAGCCATCAGAAAGGGAGGAAAAACAGCTTTTTCCCCCCCTGGGCCTTCAGATCTCTAGGAATTGCTTCACAAGGGCCATGGGGATGTAGTTTTTGAGCTGTTAAGGCCCTCCCCAGGAGAAGACAGGCTCCTGAAGGCTCTGTGGAAGCTGATCAGCTGCCAAACTCAGTGAACGAGAAGCATTTCTTTGTAAAACTGTCCCCATGGTCCTTTCAGGTGCACAGCCTCCTGAGCTGCCCAACGCTGAAGAGATTTGCACGGATGATTGAGCAGAGAGCAGTGGACACAGCCTTGTACGTCATGCAGAGGGAAGACAGGTGAGCAGCCTCGTCAGCCGCGGGCATCAGGTCACACTTGGCCAGGCCTCTCAGTATGTGGGGAGGAGGGTCCCCCTGGTCTGCTCACACCTGCGAGCTGAGTCTCCACATGTGCTGAGGTAAAATCACCATGTTCTGCTGGCCTGTTGAATGGATTCAGCCCTAAGTCCTTACACTTCTGGAGCTGGGACTGGTGACCTGGGGCTTCCATTCAGTTATACAGAACTGGGAGCCACCACTCAACGGAGTTTCTCTTAATCACTGACTTTTTCCCCTTCTGCTTTAAGTTTTAAAGGGTTTGGGTGGGAAGAGCTGATGGAAGAATAATGATTGCTCACTTTGGTCATTAGTTTACAACTTAGGAGTCATTTCCCTGTTCTTGCTGTGAGGGAGGTGTCAATATCCCTGACCGCGTCTGGGTCCTGGCTTTAGAGATGAAGAAACTGGACGAGTGATGTGGGCTGTCTCACCTAGGCTTGGCTAGCAAGTGGCAGAGCCAGGACTCTGACCAGATCTTCTGTCAGTCCTGTGTTTTTTAAGTTTCTAGGACTTAGGGCTTTGTTTTTAGAAGGTCTGTCTCTTGCCTACCAGAATGGAGAGTTTCTCTCTTACCAAATTAAAACAAACAAACAAACAGCACCTTTCTTCGATAGGTTAATAACATTTGACTTGCACTCAGAATAGGTAACTTGGTAGAGGAGGAGATGGGAAGTGGAGGATCAGTCCAGGGAAGAAAAAGAGGATCAGTCCTGGGGAGGAAAAAGCAGCTAACATTCCAAGAATTTGCAGGGCCTGGTGCATAAGAGTAAGAACCTCTGGCTGCTTTTCTGCTGCTCAGAGTCAATGCATACAGAAGGCTCCAGCCGTGCCACCCAGCTTGCCGCCACTCACTATGATTTGCCCCCTTCCCTCATCTGTTCCTGAAGTGGCCCCACCAGACCTAAATTGTCACTCACTGCCCTCCCCTACACACACACACACATTTAGTAAATATTTTAGGCTTCACTGCGCATGCATTATCTTTGCAGCTACTCATCTCTGCCAGTGTAGCATGAAAGCAGCCATAGATGATATGCAAACAAGTGGGCACAGCTCTATTCCAATAACACTTTATTTACAAGACGGGCAAATGGGTTGGATTTGGACAATGGCCATAGTTTATTTTCTCCCAGTGTAAAGCATTTTAAATAAGATCTGATTCTTCTTTCCGTTTTGGTTAGCCCTGCTTTCATAAAACTGATGTTTCTTCGGGGCTCCTGGGTGGCTCAGTTGGTTAAGCAACTGCCTTCGGCTCAGGTCATGATCCCAGGGTCCTGGGATCGAGCCCCACATTGGGCTTCCTGCTCGGCGGGAAGCCTGCTTCTCCCTCTCCCGCTCCCCCTGCTTGTGTTCCCTCTCTCTCTGTCTCTGTCTCTCTCTGTCAATTAAATAAATAAAATCTTTAAAAAAAAAAAAAACTGATGTTTCTTCAAGGACAAATTAGATGGCCTCACAGTGCCATCCAACTTGGCTTGGCCTACGTACATTCTTCTGGAAAGTATATGTTGCGTACGGTATTGGTTGCCTACTCCTCATCCATTGCTTCAGCGTTCCTTGACTTATGATGGTGGTCATTTATTTACCCAGTCACCATGAAAGAAAGATTGGTCTAAGCCAGTCATGACGACCCTGCTCCCTTTTGTCCATGATTGGGCTCTGGGAATTCTGAAAGAGGTGTTTTCCCCCTCTTTGATCAAAGGTGAGAGGCACCAAAACCAAGCCTTTTGGCCGCTCACTGGCACAGCTCCCTGCTTTCTTTAGCACCGTGAGATGACAGGCTTGGAGTTGCAGTAACCACCTTGTGATCCTGAGGTGGCAAACCTGAGGGTCAGTGCCAGCCCTGCGAGCGAGCCCTGCCACTGAGCTTTGTGTGACACCAAATAGATAAGACATGTCCTCACAGTCCAAACTCCAGAGAAGGGGGACTGGCACCTGGGAAGCAGAGCTCAGGATGCTGTTCCTTCTGATCGCTTTTCTGAGGGCCTTCTGGAATTTCTGGAAATCACTCTACCCTGTCCTTCCCAGCTTTGTTCCTGGAGGCCTAGTTCTTCATGACTTATCCCAGTTTCCAGTCCCATCGCAGATGTGTTCCAGACCCTGGTGCTTTTGTTGTTGGAAGTGTCTGTGCACAGAGAACCCTCAAACTGAAGGCGGTGCCATTTCTCCCTGCCCTGCTGGTCGCTGTCCTTCACACATTACTTGTCTCCTTCTCAGCTCTGTCTGATTGGGCTCCTGAGGTCCTGGGAGCAGATCCAGCCCGCCTTCCTGTGTGCCAGTGCCCGCTGGCTGTTCCAATGTCATTTACTTGCTGTAGGGAAAGCCTTCAGATGGCCGTAGGCCCGTTCCTTCATATCCTGGAGAACAACCTGCTGAAAGCTGTGGACCCTGCCACTCCACCCGGCAAGACCAGGTACCGTCCACGGCAACTCCGCTTTGTGCAGCTGAGGGCAGGATGGGCCTCTGGCCGCGGGGAGGGAACCCAGGTTCTAAGGGGGCAAGAACCAGGCTGACAGGGACTGAATGGAGTTTAAGAGGTCATGTGTCCCAAAGACGTTCACAACATTGTTAACCTTTCTTCCTGCGGCACCCGTCCTACTGTGGTTTGAAATTTTTATGTTAGCAAGAAAGAACTCTAAATTTGTTTTCCATTTTTTTTTTTTTTTTTTTTACTAACTGAACGTGTGTGAAAGAGTAGCTAATTATGATGTCGCACCGATACAACGGCTTAATAGATTGTTTAGATCGAACACCTTCACTGAGTGTCGAGAACGGTGTGATACCCACCTGGCATTTTTAAATATTGGAAGTAGCTCCTGAACCTCCATAGCCACTTTTGTAGCACCTGGAACCCCAGTTAGGGGCACGGATTTGGAGTGTTACATGTCCTGGGCACTTGCTGAGCAGAGCATGGTCTGCGGATGAACAGCTTCACCACTGCTTGGGAGCTTGTTAGATTCTGACTTAGTGAATCAGAATCTGCATTTTAACAAGATCCTCAGGGGATTGGTATGCACCCTACTATTAGAGAAGCACTGTTGTAAGCTGCCTTCTTCTTCTTCTTTTTTTTTTAAGATTTTATTTATTTGAGAGAGAGCGAGAGAGCACAAGCAGGGGGAGTGGCAGGCAGAGAGAGAGGGAGAAGCAGGCTCCCCCGCTGAGCACGGAGCCCGATGCGGTGCTCGATCCCAGGACCCCGGGATCATGACCTGAGCTGAAGGCAGACGCCCAACCAACTGAGCCACCCAGATGCCCCTAGGCTGCCTTCTTTAGAGAGAGAGAGATTGTACGGTAGCTAGAAACTCACGAGCTTGAGAATGGGAGGGGCCAGTGAGGTGAAATAACATTCAGGAACTCTGGGCCAGATTTATAATAGCAGATTGTGCCAGTGCCCTTCCCTGTCCTTCTCAGCACCTGCAGTGACAGTACATTTCTAACTGGCCCTTGCCACCTTGCCCACCCCTTGACCTTGTATCTGTAGAATACTATAGGATCCAGTGCTAGTCTTCTAGTTTAGGAGTCAACCCATAAAATCCTTGATCTTTCCTAAGAGATAGTTACAGGGGACAGGCAGCTATAGATTAAAATGGCATCTTTCTTACAGATGAAAGCCATTTGGAGAATATGTTAAAGGCCAAACAGGCTTCTTAATATTCCTTTGAAATGAACTTAATTCCCCCAAACTGCAAGCCGCCCCAGCAAGGAGGAGAGCGTGCTCTACTAAACTCATCACACAGCTGAGAGTAGGAAGAACATTTGCCACAGGCAGCCAGATCCAAAGGAGAGAAGAGAGGTAGGACCAAGCCATACCTGCTTGGTTTCTACTTTAAAGGTCACTCGGGGAGGAGTGAGTGGGTGGGTGGGCCAGCAGGTGGGCAGAAAGGGATCAGGAGAGCTACCCCAGTGGGGAAAGAAACAACATAAATTGTTGAATAAGGTCTCCCCCCACCATCTCCTTCAGAGGAGTTTTATACCAAGCTCACTGACTTCTAGATGTCACCTGGTTTCTGAGGCAATGTTGTTTCTTACTCAAAGGGGGCAGATGGTGTCCTGCCTTCCAGAGTCCTGAGGTAAAGGACTGTGGACTGTTTTCTCCTTGCAGAAAGCTGTACCTCTACGCAACTCATGATGTGACCCTCATGCCTCTCTTAATCACCCTGGGGATTTTTGACCACAAATGGCCCCCATTTGCTGTTGATCTGACCATGGAACTCTACCAGCACCGGGAATCTAAGGAGTGGTTTGTGCAGCTCTATTACCGCGGGGAGGTAAGACCTGTGAGGTGCAATTGGGTGGTAGCTAGGCACCCTCCCTCGAACCCCACCCACGTGGTTTAGCACCAAGTCTCCCTCCTCAGGCTCAGTGGAATCTCCTTGGTACAGTCAGTTCTCTGGATCCAATGGAATGACTCACAGCCATACCCAGGATAAGGCAGAATTGGAAATATGGTGGCAGGCTGGGACTTGGGCCTTATCGCACATCTGCTACAGACTCCTTCTAGAAACAGGACCGCCCTCCTCTGCCCCTGAGTGTCTCTGGGATGGTGTCTTTGGGAGGCAGTGTGTTTGTCAGCGCTGTGGGAGCCTCGGCTGCTTTTGCAGGTTGCTGTCCAGGGCAGATACTAGCGCACCCCCCAGTGATTAGACCTTTTGCCCTGCCAGCTTAGGGGTATAATGTGACTGTCTCCCCAGTCAGTTCAGCAAGCAGTTCTTGAGTGACTGTCACAAGCAGGGCATAGTTCTCCTACCCTGGAAGCTGACTGGGTAGTGGGGCCTTCTTGGCTGTTCTGTGTGTGCGTGCACACACCACTGGGTCAAAGCCTCTCAGACCTCTGGGCACAGGTGAAAATAGCAGGCCGGGGTCCTCAGTAGCCCTGCTCAGTTTTGTCTCTTCCACAGGAGCAGGTGCCAAAAGGTTGCCCTGACCGGCTCTGTCCACTGGACAACTTCTTAAACACCATTTCAGTTTACACCTTGAACCCAGAAAAATACCACACACTCTGCTCTCAAGTCCCGGTGATGGAACTTGGAAATGGGGAGTGACTGATTTATACAAACAGGATGTGTTGGTTTTTCAATAAATGCCTTTACACACTGCCTCTGGCTGTCATGTTTGGGGATGGCAGGAACAAGGGTTAATGTATTTTAACAAGGGTTTTATTTCCTTCCAGTAGTTATACTGAGGTCTCATCTTGAAAGGAAGAGAGGTGTTGAGACCAAAGGGGTATTTCCTATTTTGTGGCTTGATTTCCATGTCCAGAAGCCTCTGCTGTGATGCAGGCTGGGGACATCATGACCCTGCAGAATTGTGTTGGTCTGGGACTTGAGTTCTTTTTTCCGGTCTTCATTTCACAAACATATACTGAGTACCTACTAAGTAATGGACATTATTAAAGTGAAAAGGTTCTGCCCTCAAGTTGTTTTAGCCCAGTGGGAGAGGCAGATAAGTCAGTGATGAAAATGCAGTATGTTTCATTCTCTGATAAGGTAGATCAAGGGCTGTCTGGGTACAGAGGAAGAAACCCCCCAGCCCCAGCTGGCAGGGGCCGGTGGGAGGGGGAGGCAGTTTAGAAAGGCTTCTAGGGAGGTTCCGTCCTGATCTGAGTAGGAAAGGTGAGTAGGAGTTAACCAGGTAAGCAAGGAGGAAAGGGTGTTGTGTGTAGGTAGAAGGTAAGCTTAAAGGTCAGGGGACGTTGCTGGTCAGTGAGATGGAGCCCTGCTGTGGGGACCCAGCTGGAAGATGCAGGACAGACACTCGGCTTCTGGTGGCTATAGCTCCTGGAGCAAGGATGAGGGCTCCACCGTGATAGGCTGGAACCACGCTCAACATAAGAACTCCACCTTTAACTGGGCCCCCTAAGGTACCTGATGATCCCCCTATTTCCTTATCCTTATCAATTTTGTCATTCTTCCCCAGAAGCTCTCTCAAACTTGCTCTGATCTCAAACCACCAATCTCTTAGGGAAAATAGCAATCAAAACACCTCTCCACTTCCAACCATCTTTATGGTGATGACTCCCAGACCTACTTCTCTAGCTGAGGTTTTTTCATCTGAGCTTCAAACACTCGTGACCACTTGGATGTCCCAGAGGCACAAAATGTTCCACGTCAGAACCAAACCCCTCTCTCCTCTCAGACCTGCTCCTCCCTCAGCCTTCCGTATCTGAATGAAAGACACCTCCACCATCTGCTCAGTTGCTAAACCAGAAACCCATCCTTGTCTTTTTCCTTGCACGTTTTCCTGTGTCTAATCAATTAAGTTCTAGAAAGTCTCTCCTGTTTACTGTTTCAATCTATCCGTATCTTTCCATCTTTGACCGCCGTTGTCCCCTCCCCATCCTCACTCTAATTACTCTATTTCTTATTTCACCAGGAAAGTAAAAGCAATCAGAAGAGAATTCCATATCCCCTCACCCCCGACCACCACCAAATCTCTTAACCCATAAGACCTTCCTTCCTGTTACTAAGAATGAACCATCTCTACTCCTAAGACCAACCTCCAGCTTTGCACGGACTCCTACAATTATCTTTTTTTCTGCATTGTTACTTTCATCTTCCTACCCTAATTATTCCCATTAGCATACAAATAATGCTGTAAAATCTCCTGTCTTAAAATTTTTTCTCACATTTTTGAACGTTCTTTCTTTCCCCTTCACAGCAAAACTTACCAAAAGAGTCGTTTATACTTGCCATCTCTGATTTTTCCCTTCCCTTTCTCTCTTGAACCAACTGTGATTAAGTATTCACCCCACCACTCCATGGAAACAGCTTTTGTCAACATCATCAGCGACCTCTGAGTGCTAAATCCAATAGCCAATTTCCAGTCTTACTCAGCTTCTCATCAGCAGTCATGGAATATTTTCTTCATTTGGCTTCCATGACAAATACTCTCTTGGTTTTCCTTCAAATTCTCAACTTCTTAATTTTTGCTGAATCTACCTTTTCCTAATCTCTGAATGTTGGAGTATCTCAGGGCTTAGTCCTTGGATCTTTTCTCTACCTTTTCTCCTATGCTCACCCCCTATGTGACCTCAAGCAGTTCCATAGTTTATTTTTTTTTAGTGGGTCTGATTCTGCTTTTTATTTGTTCATTTATTTTGTTTTTTATTTTTTATTTATTTTTATTTAAATTTTAGTTAGTGAACACACAGGGCAATATTGGTTTCTAAAGTAGAATTCAGGGATTCATCACTTACATACAACACCCAGTGCTCATCACAAGTGCCCTCCTTAACGCCCATCACCCATCCAGCCCATCCCCCACCCACCCCCCTCCATCAACCCTGTTTGTTCTCTATTGTCAAGAGTCTCTTATAGTTTGTTTCCCTCACCTTTTTTCTTTTCCCCATGTTCATCTGTTTGCTTTCTTGAATTCCACATATAAGTGGGATCACATGGTATTTGTCTTTCTCTGAATGACTTATTTCACTTAGCATAATACATTCTAGCTCCATCCACATCATTGCAAATGGCAAGATTTCATTTTTTTTTGATAGCTGATAATATTCTATTGTATATACATACCGCATCATCTTTATCCATTCATTAGTCGATGGACATTTGGGCTCTCTCCATAGTTTGGCTATTATTAATAATGCTGCTATAAAGATTGGGGTGCATGTACCCCTTCAAATCTGTATTTTTGTATCCTTTGGGTAAATTCCTAGTAGTGCAATTGCTGTGTTGTAGGGTAGTTCTATTTTTAACTTTTTGGGGAAACTCCCTACTTTTCTCCAGAATGGCTGCACCAGTTTGCATTCCCACCAACAGTGCAAGAGTATTCCCCTTTCTCTGCATCCTTGCCAACACCTGTTGTTTCCTGTGTTGCTAATTTTAGCCATTCTGACAGTTTTGAGGTGGTATCTCATCATGGTTTTGATTTGTATTTCCCTGATGATGAGTGATTTTGAGCATTTTTTCATGTGTCTGTTATCTATCTGGATGTCTTCCTTGGAAAGGTGTCTATTCATGTCGTCTGCCCATTTCTTAACTGGATTATTTGTTTTTTGGGTGTTGAGTTTGATAAGTTCTTTATAGATTTTGGATACTAACCCTTTATCAGATATATTGCTTGCAAGTATCTTCTCCCATTCCGTAGGCTGCCTTTTAGTTTTGTTGAGTGTTTCCTTCATTGTGTAGAAGCTTTTTATTTTTTTAAATTTTATTTGTGTAGAAGCTTTTTATCTTGATGAAGTTTCAACAGTTCATTTTTGCTTTTGTTTCCCTTGCCTCCGGTGACGTGTCTAGCAAGAGTTGCAACGGCCGAGGTCAAAGAGGTTTCTGCCTGTGTTCTCTAGGATTTTGATGGTTTCCTGTCTCACATTTAGGTCTTTCATCCATTTTGAATTAATTTTTGTGTATGGTGTAAGAAGGTGGTCCAGTTTTATTTTGCTGCATGTTGCTGTCTAGATTTCCCAACACCATTTGTTGAAGAGACTTTTTTCCATCGGATATTCTTTCCTTCAAGCAGTTCTGTAGCTTAAAATATTTTTACACAGTTTTTTTAAAAAATTATTTTACACAAATTTTTACCTTCAATCTGGACTTTTCTCTTGAATTCTAGTCTCATTTCAACTGTCTACTCAACATCTCCAAATGGATATTTAAGATAATTTAATTTATATTAAACTTCCCATTGTCCACGATAAATTTTTAGTTCTCCTGCCTCTACAAACCTACTTTCTCCCACAGGCTTCCCCATCTAGGTAAATGGGACTGCCCTTCATGCAGTTGCTTGGGCTAAGAACTTGGGAATTACCCTTGCTTCCTCAAGACTTCCATTGCTACTTAGTCTCAGCATCATCTCTCTCCTGTTCAAAGTCTCCCTGTTTCTGCCCTTCCCTTCTCCCCCCAACTTCTTCTCAGCATAGGTGCTTTTAAGATACAGTCAGATCATGTCACTCTTCTCAAAATTCACCGCTAGCTTCCCATCTCAAAGAAAGAGCCGGTCATCAAGGCCTTATGACATCCTCTCCTATCTCTTCTTACTGTCCTCCAGCTGCACTGGCCATCTTGCCGTTCTTGTATGCCACATAGCCCTGCGTCATGTCCTCACCTCCGCTCAGGACCTTTGCACAAGCTATTCCTTCTCCTTGGAATGCTCTCCTAGACCTTAGCTTCCTCTCTTCATTCACAGCTCAGTGTCTTCTCAGAGAGGACCTCCCATGTTGTCCTACATAAAATATTTCAGACCCTTGTCTTCCCTCTACCACCAGCCTTAGCTATGGTCTATCCCCTTGTGTTGCAGGCTGAATATGTTGAAGTCCTAACGACCAGTACCTCAATGCGACTGTGTATGGAGATGGGGCTTTTAAAGAGGTATTGAAGGTAAAAAGAAATCATGTGGGTGGACCCCAATCCAATGTCTTATGAGAATCCTCATGAGGGGAAATGAGGACACCGACCCAGAGGGAAGACCATGTGAAGACACAGGGAGAAGGTGGCTTTCCATAAGCAAAGGAGAGAGGCCTCAGAAGAAACCAACCCTGTTGACACCATGATCTCAGACTTCTAGCCTCCAGAACTGTGAGGAAATACATTTCTGTGGTTTAAGCCACCTGATCTGTAGTATTTTGTTATGGCATGCCTAATCAACCAATACACCTTGTCCTGTTATTTTTTTTTCTTCTGATGGTATTTATCAGTGCTGATATTATACATCTGTGTATTTATTTATTTTCTTGACTAGAATGCAAGCTCCGTAAAAGATAGACTTCTCCTTGTGAAGATGTGCCCCCAGCATCAGTAGTGCCTAGCTCATACTAGCACCCAAACCTTTGTTGGATAAATGAATACATTCCCTCTGTCACTACTATCCTGGGGCCCATAATCATCTTCCTGGGTTACTTAGCGGCTTTCTAATGAGTCATATCCTTTCTTGCCTTTTGTTACCCTTTTAGGCCCAGCCTCTGCTTACCTCTCCAACCTCATCCCTCACATCCCGGCCAGACTGAACTGTTTTAGGAAAAGGAAGTCCCACTGCTCTGACCTCTGGACTTTGGGACACATTGTTCCATCCCCTGGCCCCTGACACACTCCCTTTGCCCATCTAATCCCTGCTCATCTAGACGCCTCTCATGTTTCTGCTTGTCTCTCAG